CGAGCCAATCTCCTGACATGAACCTCATTGAAACCTTTGGACTATACTCGACCGGCAAGTCAAGAAACAACAACAACAACAACAAAAACTTCGAAGAGCGATCTACTCCAAGTTTTGAAGCAAGGATGGGCTAAAATCCCACAATCTAAAATTGACGAGATGATTTTCACGATGCCCCAAATGATTAACGAACTTCATGAAGCGAAAGGAAGATTAATAGATATTAATTAAATTATAAATATATCAATTCATGTGAATGTGACTGAAAATTTTCTTTTTTTTCTGAAAAGGTGGTGTCTATTTACTTGTGACCACGCTTTGTATAAGCCTTTCCCTCCAAGTGTCTCATTTGTAAGTCTTGGAGCTAACAATGACAAAAAATCGTTATGCACTGGTGTACACAGCACAGAGAGCCCATTGTGTGGCTTTGTGTTTAATTAAATATAAACAAACAAGTACTATATATGTGTGTGTGTTGTTGTGTTTTTCTGCCACAATCGAATAACAAATGATAAATCTCCAAACTGTTTTAATATAAAATTGCCAGATTTGTAGCTTAATATGAAAAAAATTGTTTAAAGCTAATCATAGTAGCGGCTCAATATTATAGAAACAGATTTGTTTCAATATACATATTAACACAATTAACTGGAATAGTGAAAACTATATATTATTTTGTATGTTGAATATTCATCACTAGTAAATTATCCATGAAAATTTACGGAAAAAAACAGCTGCGAAAAACATTTTGCATTTCTTGTTTTGAACAATAATTTGCTCCCCCCCCCCCCGCCTCAGTGGCACAGCGGTATGTCTGCGGACTTACAACGCTAAAATCCGGTTTTCGATACGCGTGGTGGGTAGAGCACATATAGCGCATTGTGTAGTATTGTGCTTAATTACAAGCAAACAATGTTATGGTCACTTTTCAACTAAATCTGTTCAAACAATCATGAGAGCCCCAAACGTTTTTATCTCTTATTTGGACCCTTCTTACTATTATTGTGGTATAATAATATATATGTGCCATGCGTTTTTATTTTATTATAATGTTATAGAATTTATTCCGAACTTATAATTGATTCTGTATTTGTGCAGGTTTCATATAACACATGATTCAGAAAGCTGTTCAATTTATTTCATTCTAAGCTGCCTTTGTTTCTTTGTTATTCTCGAATAGATAATACGATAATACCTGTTCTGCTCGCGGTGGTATTTCCTGCAATACTACAAGTTGTGTAAGACGTCGACAGCAGTATCTTTCAATGGTAGTTTAGGCAATATCTCGAGGATGTAACCTCACCTGTGTTTGAATGAAAATCACCAGTCACTTAATTATTGTTAATCGCTTTGTATAATTACCACATTCTTACAAAGTAAATAATGCCGGATTTAGTCAATTTAGATTATTGTTTTCAGTCCTGGCATCATTACTCTAAGAAATACTACTTGGATAGAGGGGCTGTTGTATGAAGTCAGATTAAGGTTCTTAAAAACATTTTCTCTTAGAAAAGATGGGTTAGAAGTAATCTAATTGGAGTATTCAAATTCATAAATGGAAAAGATAGGATTGATGCTTAATTTTTTATCTTGTTAACGTGTAAAAGTGGTAGGACTAGGAGACATAAGTTTAAAGTTCGGCAGGGCAGAAGATGTCTGCAACTGAGGCATTTTTTTTCTAA